ATCAACGCTCGTGATTTTGAAGAGAAATAAATTGACTTATTCTGTTTCCTTATTCTGTCTAGTGTAAAACTTGTTTTATCAAATTAGACGCGTCGCTCAATGATCAACGCTCGTGATTTTGAAGAGAAATAAATTGACTTCATTTTTTATCTGTTTCCTTATTCTGTCTAGTGTAAAACTTGTTTTATCAAATTAGACGCGTCGCTCAATGATCAACGCTCGTGATTTTGAAGAGAAATAAATTGACTTCATTTTTTTTATCTGTTTCCTTATTCTGTCTAGTGTAAAACTTGTTTTATCAAATTGGACGCGTCGCTCAATGATCAACGCTCGTGATTTTGAAGAGAAATAAATTGACTTCATTTTTTTTATCTGTTTCCTTATTCTGTCTAGTGTAAAACTTGTTTTATCAAATTAAATTCAACGCTCGTGATTTTGAAGAGAAATAAAGACTGTCTAGTGTCAAATTAGACGCGTCGCTCAATGATCAACGCTCGTGACTTGTTTTTTGAAGAGAAAAAAAAACTTCATTTTTTTTTTAAATTGACTTCATTTTTTTTATCTGTTTCCTTATTCTGTCTAGTGTAAAACTTGTTTTATCAAATTGGACGCGTCGCTCAATGATCAACGCTCGTGATTTTGAAGAGAAATAAATTGACTTCATTTTTTTTATCTGTTTCCTTATTCTGTCTAGTGTAAAACTTGTTTTATCAAATTAGACGCGTCGCTCAATGATCAACGCTCGTGATTTTGAAGAGAAATAAATTGACTTCATTTTTTTTTTTATATGTTTCATTATTCTGTCTGGGGTGAAATTTGTTTTATCAGATTAAAGTTTTTACTTATTAATCAATCCTTGTAATTTAGAAAAGAAATAAATTTAATTCACCTTGATAGTAGTTTTCTTATTGTCTGTGGTCGGAAACTTGTTTTTGTAGAACTGGAGACTTTAGTTATCAATCAAACCTAGCCATTTTTAAAAGAAATAACTTAATGTTGACAACAGGTTCATTATTCTATCTTGTATAAAACATGTTTTATATGTTTACAGACGTTACTTATCAATCAGCAATCGTAAATCTGAAGAATAAGTTTAATGCGTTTTCATAACAAGGTGTATTATCCTATCTGGTGTTAAATATGTTTTATTTGATATCAATCAAAACTCGTCATTGCGAAAAAAAATTGACTTCATTTTGATAACATTTTTATTATTCTGTGTAGTTATAAAGTTGTTTTATAGGAATGGAGACCTTGTCAAAAAAATTTCATAATTTCTTTTTACAAAAAAGTAATATATTTACTACATTTTGATTCCAGTTTAATTGGTTTTTCTGACCAAAACTTTAATGGATTGCGTTGAAGGTTTTAAGACAAACTTTATAAATTGGAATGCATAGCCCTACCCAGCTATATGCAGTGCATTCCTATAGTAAATCATTTGTAAACAAAACAACAAAGATGAGGATATTATTCAGAATAAATCATAGAATAATCAGTTTTTATAGTATCACATTTGCAATCCATTTCCATAGTCAGCTATTTGAAATGAATTTATATAGTAAGTCAAAACAACAAAGATGAGGATATTAGTCTCAATATTTCATGGAATAATGCATTCTTATATTAACTCACTTACAAACCACTTCTTTTATATGCTATTTGAAATGCATTCCTACAGTAAGTGATCAAAACAACAAAGATGAGGATACTAATCTGAATAAATCATAGAATAATGTATGTTTATAGTAACACATTCTACAATCCATTTCCCTAATCAGATATTTGCAATATATTTCTTTAGTTAGGTAAAAAAACAACTGAATAATTCATGAAATAATGCATTTTTATAGTAACTCATTTGCAATCCATTTCCCTTGTAAGCTATTTGAAATGCATTCCTATAGTAAGACATTTGTGATCAAAACAACAAAGATGAGGATATTATTCTGAATAATTCATGGAATAATGCATTTTTATAGTAACTCATTTGCAATCCATTTCTCTTGTAAGCTATTTGCAATGCATTCTTATAGTAAGACATTTGTGATCAAAACAACAAAGATGAGGATATTAATCTGAATAATTCATGGAATAATGCATTTTTATAGTAACTCATTTGCAATCCATTTCCCTTGTAAGCTATTTGCAATGCATTCCTATAGTAAGACATTTGTGATCAAAACAACAAAGATGAGGATATTAATCTGAATAATTCATGGAATAATGCATTTTTATAGTAACTCATTTGCAATCCATTTCCCTTGTAAGCTATTTGCAATGCATTCCTATAGTAAGACATTTGTGATCAAAACAACAAAGATCAAGATACTAGTCTGAATAATTCATGAAATAATGCATTTTTATAGTAACTCATTTGCAATCCATTTCCCTTGTAAGCTATTTGAAATGCATTCCTATAGTAAAACATTTGTGATCAAAACAACAAAGATGAGGATATTAATCTTAATTAATTCATGGAATAATGCATTTTTATAGTAACTCATTTGCAATTCATTTTCCTTGTAAGCTATTTGCAATACATTCCTATAGTAAGTCATTTGTGATCAAAACAACAAAGATGGTGATATTTGTCTTTCACGCAGACACGCTTGTGACCTTTCTTGAGCTTTTTCTCTTATCTTAAAGACAATACAAGATTAGGCATGCAAAAACAAACCGTGCTTAAATACAGTTGATTTCCTCCATAGTTCAAACCTACTTCACGTTAATATCCAGCATGGATATGTTGAGATCCAGTATGGCGGCGCAACTCTTGCAAATCGGGCCTCGCGATGCCCTCTACCGCGGCTTTTTGCAAAAGGATCACTTAACGCTCTTTACACTTTCTTCTTTACCTAAAAGCTAAAATCTTCTTCAGATTCCTTTCGGCTCTCTCTCTCTCTCTCTCTCTCTCAGAAAAAAAAAAGAAAAAAAATCGAAATAAATCAGAATATGTTCGTAAAAGCCATGCGGCGTAAAACGAACATTCGCACGTCGAGGAATGTTTGAAATTGTAACAGATTCAACTTGTGATTATACTCAGCTCCTGATAACGCAGTTGAAATATCAAATTTGTTTGGCGAAGTAAGTCGATAGGAAAATTAACTCATTCGAGCGTAGAATATAACAAAGAAATAGTTTTGTTAAAAAAAAAAAATGGTGCTCATCATTGCCCAGAGTCGAACTACCCGATTGGTTTGGGGTGGGGGACCAAACTTGTTTGAAAACACCGGGCAGTGCTTTGTAAAACTCGCTGTCTTATCAAAATTTTCTTTTTCTACCTATATCTAAATACGTTTCAATTTAAACTAAACAAACCCTGACTATTATAGGACGAAAGATTTTGACGTTATTCTGGGGTCTTTTTTTTGCTTTCGTCCAAATCCGTGAATTTGTTTTACTTATGCTAAGTCTCAAAAAAAAAACTATATAGAATTCACTATATTTTTTTATCCATAATGTTGAATGCGTTAAAATGAATGATTTTTTTTTTTATGCGTTAATGTTGAATTTGTGAAAATTCTTCAAAGATTTAACAAAAAAAAAATCTCAAGTTGATATTAAAAATTGTCGCAAAACATTTTGCGGTTATTTTGAATTGGAATGATCTATTAAGATATTTTTCAAATTTCTATTTAAATACATTGCATTCATGTTCAATATTTCTAGTTAAATTTTCCACCTATATTGCATATGATCCATTACTGAACACAATTAGGCTACAATAAAATTTGTATTTCATGTAAATACTACCTTATGAAAATTGAGATATAGAAGGGCCGTATAATAGATTCGCGGAGGAGTGTCATAAATTGGTGGTGATGGTGGTGGGGGTGTCATAAGTTTGAGTCAGTCGACCCAGTACTTTCTGGGCGACTGTTCGGTTAAACTCTCTTCCTACAGGCGGGAGGAACCCGAAGGAGGCTACGCCGAAGGGCGGAGTCTCCTTCGGGGAGGTAAAACCGGCCCTTAACCCGTTTATACGGGTCCAAATAGGCTATTTTTTGGCCGAGCCTAATGGCTTGGGAATTGCCCACGTTAAAAAGGCCTTGTGCCACATGACACCCTCGTGGGGGGGGGGTGACTGAATATCGTCATAAGTTCGGGGGCCCCGTGTAATAGATTTTTTGGGGGGAGGGACTCTGTCATAGATTCGGCCCGGATGTGCACCAGCCTTATCACTGCCCCTATAAGGGTCACGCGACACAGGCTATATAAGCACCAAATTCAAAGACCCATACTCTTCTTATTCAGGCAGCATCAAGCCAGGCTCTAGCACCTCCTCAACAGCCTTGGACTAGGCACTAGTTTACAGAAACCGGTAATTAAGACAGTTTGATACTCTGTACAATATTTAGTCCTAGACTGAAAGGGGGATTTCGTCTGTTGATAAGTTTTCTGCTATATTAATTACTCAGACGCAAGCATTTTATCCCTCTTCCTCTGTTTGGATATTAAAATTTTTTAAAAAGTACATATTTTTATGTTTCTTTCTCTTCAAAAGCTGTCGTTCACTTTGTTTGGGCGCATGTGACTTTGCATGAACCCTCCATAAACTTGGGTTTGTGTCCTGGCGTATTGTCGTAAATATTATCATAACAATTTATCTTACAAACAAAAAAGAACAAACAAACAAAAAAAATACCAAAACAGGGCATTCAACTCAAACACGCACATTCATTAAAATTATGTTCATAGTAATAAGGAATCCATTAAGTAATTATTGTGATTACGATTCGGGTACATAGATTCGAAAAGTTGCAACGAGAGGTGTGCATTCCTTAAGCAGGTAATTGCGCCTATCCTTATCATTACTAAGAACAAGTTTCGGCTGTAGGAATGGGTTTCCTGATGAAAAAAAGAAATAAATAAACTAAAGGTCAAATTCCTGTCGGGAAACAGACTTTTCTTTGGTAGTATTTCTCAATTTCGTTTACTTGACATTAAGTTCCATGTTTAAGAAAAAAGGTAACAGTTTATAGGAATCAGAATGTCAG